GTCTTAATCTTCAAAAGCACTTAAAATCTGCGATACTTCTGATTAACTTTTAAATGTTACATTTTCCATATGGAGCTAAATATGGAAAACATTTGAATGATAATTGTTGGACTTGACTCAATTACATTTATTACCCCTTTTAATAAAACATTATCGTATCGAAAAAAGAGTAAAATTTCTCTGGCGCATATAAAATTATCTTGCGCACGAGCACACACCAGAGCGCGCATTTCTTCATTCGAAAATAAGTTGTGTTGGGGAATTTTCAATACATGCAAAACTTGAAGGAGTTGGAATTTTTCCCCAAAAATACGAAAAATTGGTACAAAATAAAATCGAAAAAAGTTAGGAGATATTTTTGCGCAGAACACACCGCCCCTTCAAGCAAAGGACCAAATCAGATTTTTCTCATCTCAACTGGCAAGGTTGAAATGTTTCCAACAGTTGGAGGAAGCAAATTTGACTCTCTCTGCAAGAGATACATGAAAATGTGAAGAGGCCGTTTTTGTAGTGGACGAATTGCTGACTCAAGCCAAGGGTCGGATGTGCCTTTCCAGAATTCTTTAAATTTCAAGGCAATGAAATCTCACAACCCCTTGATTGGCCGCAACCGGTCGAAGCAGTTCACTCAAAAACTTCCTCCTAAAATAATCCGTTTTCCTGCTGGCCGGTGTGTCTGATCAAAGGCATTCTCGACTTAATAATAACCGAAGCCTTCCAATTTCGTTGCTATAGAGAAAAATGCTGCGTAACCGTTCTGATTAGCATTGGCAAGACAATTTCGCAACCCTCTTCGCGCATTTCCTTGCCCGTGTGACCCTAAACGTTCTCATCAAGATTACATCGGCATTTCGAAATTAAAATCTCAACAATCGGCGCTGTTTTCGTTCCGCCGTACCCCCGATTGCAACCACCACCAGCGTCTACCACCAGTCTGCTTCTCCTGTATTAATTCGACGTCGATGTTGTCAATGCTGCAGGTCATACAAAGACCAGCGGGAAGTCCCTATTGGTAGGCCATTCACTATCACCCCATGATACCCATTATGACCTTTTTTCTTCGATCTTTTATTAGCGACAACGAGAAAAAATCACTCCGGCTACACCCTTGCGATCAATCTCCCAGTGTTTTACGTTTTGTTTTCGCTTTCTAGACTTTCGCATTTGCATTATTTGAATTGGTAATTCGCCTATTCCCATGCAAGGTGGTCTTGTTTTTCCATGCCATTTAGATGAGTGACAACCTGCCAACTGGGACCCCGATATTAATGGAAACAACTTCGGGAAACTTCCAAATTTAAGGACTTTGTTTCGGAACGTGCGAGTGTTGTGCAAAAGCAGCAGAATGATTGAATGAAGAAATTGTGAATTAAACCAGCAGTTGTTGAACCACATTGATGGAAAGGAAGCAATTAGTGATGAGCGCAAGTAAGACCAGGCGGTTGAAGTGAAGAAAACAAAAATCGTGATGAAGATGCTTTGCAGAAAATTGTGGAATTTGGATCTGCAACTCCGTTAGACTTTCAGTTAAAATATCGCGCCTAAAAAATGAAAGACCATGACAGTTGATGAGTCCCGATATTCTCCAACTTAAAGTTGTTAAGCCAAAAATAACAGCAACCGCACAAGTGACAGGCATTCAAAACATCGTACAAGAAGAAATAAAGATCCAATTTCAATATTTTTATCCAAAGTTTCTTCATCGCGATTTTTTTTCTTCGCGTAGCGATTAGTGCTGAGCAAGGCAAGGCCAGGCGGTTGAAGCGAAGAAAACAAAAATCATGATGAAAATACTTTGCATAAAAATGTTGGAATTGCAGAATTCCGTTAAAGATTCAGATAAAAATATTGCGCTTAAGAAATGAGCGACGAAGAGATTCTTCTACTTAAGGTTGAAGAACCAAAAATAACAGCAAAAGCAAAAGTGACAGAAATTGGAAAAAAGGCATAAGAAGAAATGCGAAGACATGGAGAAACAGCAAAGAAAACACTGGAGTTTGGGAGTAAAAAAGTGCAAGGATTGATTGAAGCTCAAAACCAACCGGAACAGACCTGGTTTCAGAAGCTGACAAGAAACCGGCTATAAAACTGACAATAAACATTTAATTTAATAATTGTTATGAAAAAACACAATACGCGATGCACCGGAAATATATAGGGTGATTCAAGAAAAGCTTACTTTGAGAGTCCAAAAAAAATTGTCATTTTTTTACAAATTTGTAAATAATTTTAACAGTTGAATATCGAACTTCAACTTTGTTAATAGAGTGTTATTGGATGGTCAATAAGGAGGTGCAGTAATAAAGTTAGTGCTATTTTGACACATTTGAGTCTAAAAATTAAGGATCCCATACTGGTCTGTGCTAATTGTGCAGCCATACTGTGTAGCTTTATTTCTACCTCAAACTGGCAGTTGACATTTCTAACGTGCGCTTGCAGGTTAGGTCATTACGAATGTCTAATTAGAAAGGGCTCCGTGCGCTGTTGCCGTGTTACAGTAATATTTGACGTCAGTTTTGTCTTGTATATCCGTCATTTCTGTCAAGCTATTTACCAGTGGATAAAAATAGAGAGTTTTTAGGCCCCATAAAATTACGTCGGCCTTAAACGCTAAACGTTATTGTGATCATGCGCAGTTTTAAAAAAATAAGCTGTTCAGACAAATAACGTTAAGTGCGCTTTTAAGTTTTTGATAGCGCGTTTGTGGTACTCTTAATAAGATAAACCTCGCTTTATTGTTTTCTTATCCCGTGTTGTTTGGAAAATTTTTAAAGCTGGTTTAAGTTTGTATTGTTATTAAATAAAAAGTGGCCAAGATGGAAGAAAACATTGAAGCTGCTTTTCTGCAGCGAAATGATCAAGGAGATGTGGATCACGATTTAATAAGAGACTTCATTTTACACGACATGTTTGAACCACCTGTTGCTGCAAACCGAAGAGCTATTTTTAATTTAGAAAATATTGAGCCCAGACATCGCTTTATCAATTTTAGTTTCAGAAGGAATATATTCCAAACAAATTAAATAAAAATTCAAAATAAAATTGTTAGGTTACGGGTTAGAAGTTAGAACCTTTGCTTGCGATGTTAGTAGCGTTGCCAAAGTTCAAATTTGCCCAAACAATTTCACATAAAATCCGTAATTACGCAATAATGGCATAAAATAATCAATGAAAAATACTTATTTAAATTTACAAAGATTTCTTATTCTATTATAGCCGCTTATTTTATTAATAATATTAGAAATAAGTCAAATATGTGAACACCGTCGTTCTGTTTCTTAACATGATGCTTATTAACGTTACCGCTACTCGTACCTAAATAAAGGCACACGTTATCCTCTAATAACGTAAACGGTTATTTCTTTACTAATGCGCATGCTCAGAATAACGGATAACGTAAAACGTGTTGCAATTAAAGGGCCTAAAAACTCCCTAATAACCATTATTATCAAATTTATTTACAGTTTTGGAGAAGTAATATTTTTGATACTAGTATTATTTTATATGATTTATTTTCCTGACTGCGTGTAATTATTATTATATTTTTTTTCCTGGGGTTCAGTCAGGCAGAGATTTCGAAGAAAAGTAACCATTATTATCAAATTGATGTACAATTTTGGAGAAGTAATATTTTTGATATTAGTAATATTTACTATGATTTATTTTCCTGACTGCTTGTAACTGTTATTATATTTTTTTTCCTGGGTTTCAGTCAAAATGTGAAATAAAAATGTTCATATCGTTTATTTCATATAACGTTTCGGCGAGACAACAGCGCCATCATCAGACTTAAAATTCAACACAAACTACAAACACCAATTTACAATTAAAATATGTTCTACAAAAACTGTAATTTACAAAGCGTTAAAACATTCATTAGTTCTTCGGAAAAAAAAATTATTTGGGAGAGCAAAGCATTTGAAAAACTTACCCCATTGTTGCAAACATATTTTAATTGTAAATTGGTGTTTGTAGTTTGTGTTGAATGTGATGATGGCGTTTTTGTCTCGCCGAAACGTTATATAATATCAACGATATGAACATTTTTCTTTCACATTTTGAGTGAAGCTCAAGAAAAGCTGAAAGAAAAAATATAATAAGTATTTTGTGGTTGATTAGTGACCGTGATGATAATCAGTAATTAATTCTTCGATAGTGGGATTTCCGGTCAACGGATAGTCGCAAAAAAAACTACTTTTTCATGGGCCAACGTTTTGCGCATTTTTTATGCATATTTTTTTAAATTAATTAATTTAATTTAAATCTTATTGACATGAGATCATTGTTTTGAATGTGTTTTATAGTTTTGACCGCCTGATCGTTTTTATTTTATGTAATTTTAAACTCTTTTGGCACGGGACTGACCATGATTGACTTGTATTTAAACCAATGTTAATTTTAATGTATTTTTTGGTGTTTTAACTGGATGGTCGTGATTTAATTTTTAATCTGTTGTTAAGTCGAGTCTTTATTTTTTTATCGTTTTAATTTTGTATTGTACAACAATGTCACACACTAAGTGCTGAAACTTCACCAGGTTCTAGACTAAAACCCCTCTGTTTTCCATTCTAGAGCCCTGAGGATGACTTGAATAAAGCCGAAACGTTGGCCCATGAAAAAGTAGTGTTTTATTTTGCGTTGACCGAAAATCCCACTATCGAAGAATTAATAATAAGTATTATTTACGTTTTTTAGATATTTTTAGGTAAAGTATCAAGTGATATTTTTAGATAAGTATGCATAAACAACTTAACTAATTAACATTAATAATTTTGCATTATATTAATGATTCTGATTCATATTTTATTATTTTAAACTCCTTTATAAATGGAAGAATGGCTACTGTTGCATGCAACATTTGTTTCAAGACTTCCTGCAAACAAAGCAAGCTCATAAAGTTTGTACACCTAGAAATTGAATTAAAATTACTCCTTCAAAAGAGTAAAAAAAAATGAATTATACGCAATAATTTTGCATTCACATCTATAAGAAACATGGGTAAATGCTTGATAGAAATGACGTCAATTATTACTACCACACGGCAACAGCGCACGGAGCCCTTTCAGTAATTAGCTTATTAGCGCAGTTATTTCATTGTATACATAACCTAGTTTCTATTTCTACGCGTTTTTTCATAGTGACAGTTAACCGGAAATGCGCAAAAACCGTCTAATATCCAATAGAAAAGTAAACAATACAGAGATAACAGCGTAAAAATAATTTATGTCTGAAAAGCTACAAATTGAGGTGGAGTTAATGAACTAAATACCAAAAAGTGCCCCAAACGTGATCCCAGTAATGCTGCGCAGAGTGCACAATAACGTGAGTACACGGGCACATACATACAACAGTTTAAAACGGCTCTTTTCACTACAGTTTTAGCGCAAAATGTGTTTATTGTTTGTGGATTAATGACTTTCTTCTGCTTCTAAACTATTGCATTTTCACTGGTTCACAGGTTCAAAGAAAGCGACGCAAAGAAGAAAAACAAAAATTAAGAGCGGGAGATGAAACGTTCCAAATTCTAATCGCTTTGATGGTAGTGAAGATGGCAAGTCAAGGGAGGAAGAAGTCGAAGAATGGATCAGTACGAAGCAGAAGAGTCGATGCGCTTAGATCTTGCTGGCAGCTAATGAGGGCATAATTTTCCGGAAATTGCCATTGAAAATGAGCAAAACTGGACGATTTCTTCAGAGTTGGTTGATCTGCATCCACGCTTGGCACTAATTAAATGCAAAAGCCACAGGAAAGCTAACGGTCTAACGGACATGTCGAAGAAATCGGTCTACCTGAAAGGTCTCTTTGGGTGGTTTAATGAGTGAATTTTTTCGGATTTTTTTCAAGATCGAATCCCGAGATCGCATCTCGTTTCGATCCGGATTGAATTACGTCGAGTTTTCCGCGTCAACAGCGCCGTGTAAAGTTACGCCCGGCCAACCCACGTCCCGTCTTATTACTTATGCCTGACGGGTGTTGCAGCGTAAATTTTCTAGAATTTCCATTACTTGGGTTAGTTTACTTCTCTTTTTACCCACCCGTCTCGGTTTTTCCTCATTTTATACGGCTTGGCCTCATTAATGCTAAATTGTCTAGAACGTGTTGCACAGATTACCTTTATTAGGAAGCTGTTGTTATCTTGCTTCGATGGATGCATGGAATTCACGTGGCGATCGTCAATGGTGTCGCTTTTTGTCACGAAATAATTGTTTAATGCACGCTTAAATTTCCTGATGATGGTGCATCAAAAGAGGGACACATTGAGGAAAATTTAATAACGGGGGAAAAGCCGAAGCTGACTAACAGATGAAGAAAAACGAGACAAACCTGGGAACGAACGTGTTCAGAAAGTTACTACACAGAGCAAAACGATAGTGTTGAATTATGGAGAAAACCCTAATAATTATGTCTGGGTATTTTTCCAAAAATATTTCCCCGAACTGAAGAAGCGAAAGTTTATAACCGTTTATTTGGAAAACTGGAATTTCTTCACTTTTAGGTCAATATTTCTAAACAACACTGTCTCTAAACAGGAAAACCGCGTTTTTCCTAAGGTTTTACTGTAAAATACGGGCACACTGAATCTTTTATGCAAAAAAATGAAGAGACCGATTTTACAAGAAAACTTTATTTGGAATTATCGTCAACCCCAATCCTCTGAAGACTGTAGAATTTGTAAAAAAATTTGGATTTTTTGTTTTTACTGATTTTTTTTTGCTTTACTTTTTACTCAAAAACGCTCTATTTTCTAGAGTTTCACTTAAAAATACTGGCGATCTTTAAGTAAAAAAAAAGTAAAGAGTAATTAAGATTACCTTCAAAAAACGGCCAGGGAGCAAAAGTTTACAAAAAATTATTGGAAAAATTCGCCACCCTCATCATTTTCAGGTCATTCCAGTTTTAACAAAATTTCTATTAAGCAATTCTTTCTACGCAAAAATCGCATTATTTTTTAGTTTTACCTAAAATACTGGCAAACTTCAGGTATTTTCTGTGAAAAATTATAAAGATACATTTTTACACACATTGTTTGTAAATTGGAAATTTTCACACATTTTTACATACAACACTCGCATTCTTAACCGCTTTGCAAACATGTTTGGAAACATTTTTGCAGCTTTGAATTGTGGACAAAACTCGAATAATTATTTCTAGGTCTTTCCAAAAATATTTCGCCGAACTGAAACAGCGAAAGCTTCTATTCATTTATTTAGAAAAGTTTTCGAAACTGGAGTTTCTTCACTTTTAGGTCAATATTTCTAAACAACACTAACCAGGAAAACCGCGTTTTTCCTAACGTTTTACTGTAAAATACTGGCAAACTGAATCTTTTATGCAAAAAAATGAAGAGACCGATTTTACAAGAAAACTCGTCG